CCTACATTTATGTGGTACTGCCAAGTCAGGGTTGACATGGCCAAGGCTGGTAGCTTGACCTTGGGATGCTACTAACTACAAACCTGCTTGCCAGCATCAGCTACACATGGATATACATTCTTAGTCTGAGGTTTTTCTGGTAGAGTGAAGTGGCTTAAGATACTGATTAATGGGCAGTCCATAAATCAGCAATTTATATGGTATATACTGTTATGTACAGATCCTGGTTTTCCCAGTATTCACCTTTGCTAATTGGTGTAATTCAGAACAGAAAAAAAACAACTTGCTATTTTTAGAGTAGCATTATATAATATACTTTAACTGCTGTCAAAAGCTTACAGAATTTATCCTCCAACGAAATGGAATAAATGCAGTGTTTCATACTAGAACCATCTCATTTGCTTTGTTTTTTTTTTTTTTAATACTTGCTCATCCACTGAAACAATCAAAAGCTCCACCTTCAGCTATCCACATTCCTTGGTTTTTGTTTCCACCAAGCAACCAAAATTAGCTGTTCCATAGTTGTACACACTAAGTTTATTATAATCCTAATTAACTTAGAAATTCCAGGGAAAAAAACCCCAATGCATAACTTTGAAATGCACATTAGAGCACCCTGTATCCTGTTCATGCATTCCCTCATCAGATGAGGGAGACATGACTGAACAGAAGCTGACCTTCCTGCAAACACTTCAATTTGCAGCACACCTATCAGTTTCTCAAAGTCCGATTTTAAACAGAATGCCTGTGGTGCTTTTGAGCTACTGAGCAGAAGCCAAGCAACTACTACCTTTCCAGGGAACAATGAACACATGGGAAAAGAGAGAGTAGGGTCAGTAATACCCATACAACTTTCATGTTTTGCAACACACATGGCTTAATCTACTTTCTTCCCTTCCCTCAGTCTATTCTTTTGTTTACTGCAATGTCTCATCATATTTATTATCCACAGACAGAGGCTAGAGGGCAGGTCAGTCTAAAGGACTATGTAGTTTAGTCTTGTTCTGCAGATGAAAATGATGCTGATGGTCACGTAAGCATCAAAGCTGTATGTCACATACTTCAGCATAAAGCATGTAAGCTATGGGACACCAAAATAAGATGAAAACCCAAAGGTACGCACCATGTGCATGTGCAGCACAGCATGGTGATTACTCCACAGATCCAGATCATACATGCCTGTGGTGTCTCTAAAATCGGAAAACCAGCAGTCCCAACATGTAAAGTCCACACACTGCCTCGATACAGGGTCCCAAGGATAAGAGTGGACAATACTGGAATGTTGTCCCCAAGGAGCAAAGCTCCTTAGTCTCCCTCATCCATCATGGGACTGGGAGGCTACTCGGCTGTTGCTGCCATCATGAGACATAGTGCATGGATTCTCAACTTCTAGAAATCAGTTAATCAAAAGATTGAAATAAACTAAATACTGCAGCTTATTGGGAAGTTAGCTCACTAACTGCTCAGCTACAATAAAATTTTGAAGATTCCCTCCAAAACCATTGGGATTTGAACCATACGGCCTCCAGAGACCTTTCCCATCTAAATTACTCGAAGTCTCAGCATATCCTTGAAGTGCCATCCTGACCCAAAAAAAAAAAAAGTGTAATGGATTAGCACACTAGAATTCTCAGAGCTGATCAAAAGTTTTGCTACATTTTGAGATTACTCTTCTATCCAAAGGAAAAAAAGTTTTAGTATTATGAACCATTTAAAACCAGGCTTAAATTGATTTAATTTCTTTCTACTCAGCACAAGTTACAATAAAGGTCACGATACATAAGGGACTACATCTACTACCCTTCTCTTCAATGAAAGTTGCAGTCAATATTTAATCATCCATAACCTTTTACTAGTGACAGCTCACATTCTTGAAGAAAAATACTTCCTGAAGTCCATGGACTTCCCTGAAGTCCACAAGTATTTTTATTATGACCAATTGTTCAAGGGAAGATATTATAGATACCGACCACTTCAACATTGTTGTAATGAAATACATTGCTCAGTTACCATTAACTGAGGGGATTAAAGAACAGCTCAGAATCAACTTGGAAGAATTACCTTATTTAGTTAACAGCATTTCACAGTTCCTGTGTTAGCTCATCTTAGGGCACAACATATACAAACTGATTACAGTGAGCATGAATACAAAACTTCCTTTGAGTTCAAGTGACAACTGTGCAATGTGTTTGCATCTCAAAAAAAAATATCAGATCGGTGTCCTCATATAGCATGTGACAAATCAGCAAGTGTAGAAAGTGTTACAAGTTTTCCTACATCTTAAATTTCAGCCTTTAGTGAAAGAATTAACATCTTGTCCCTAATTTCTATTCCTACCCTTACAAAAACAACCAGTCCAAATGTATACAAGCCTGACAGTTTGTCACAAACAAATGTGGATAGACCACATTGTGGTAGTTGTTACCTGCACGCTTTCCTTAACCAGGCTGAGAGCATCTCCTTTGTACCTTGCTTTCTCTTTCACTCTCCTTTTTGTGCCAATGCAATTGAAACTCTCCCAGGACAGGTTTTAGTAATTCTATCACTGTCAGACCAGGCTCAGTGCTGCAGCCCTCGCTGCTCATCCTGCAGATCCAATCAGGTTTGGCACAAGCGGCTCCTCCCTTTGGGAACGTGTGGCCAACTGTGTATATATAGATCTTTCTCTGCCCCACATTATCTAGATTTATTAAGGTAATAAGAAATGTCTAGAATCTCCTTGATTCAGTACAAAGGTCCCAGACATACTTCCATGTAACTGCCTTTTACCTTTAAGGATTTGTGGTGAGCTTGCCACCCAAGTAAAAGCATCATTCCCACTGGTGAGCTTCATGTATCTTTATCCACTTAAGAGGACGTTGCTTGCAGATACAATAGCACATAAAGATGTTAAATCCAGGCTTTACACATCAAGCTGTTAATGCTTGGCATGCGGCTTTAGAAACTATTTGCTTGAACAGATACCTAAAGTCTAACCTCAAAAACACTACGACTGGTGCCAATGCTTAGCCACAATTGCAACTAGACGTCTCCACTTGACCTCCTCTTCCTGTGCCCCCATACAGGGACTTGCTGGGGATGTCTGTTTATCCAAATGAACCTGACAAAATACATTCCCAATGCCAGAGACAGGCTCACTCTTGTCACATTGTATCAGCGCAGAACACTGAGAAACTTCCATGGCCCAATTATGCTTCATTAAACTAAGCCCATATTCTGTGTGTCAGGGAAATAGATATTGAACATCTTAGCCTTGTTTTTCTCAATTGATAAAAAGTATCACTTCCTTGAAAAGGAAAAAATAAAGACAGCTTTATTTTGGAATTCTGTGCAGGGAAGAACCACAGGTGTTAGTCAGCTCTCAAGTAGATGCTAAAGTTACACTTTGCCTCAGTTTCCCAACTGAGAAATAACATAAAACAGCCTTCAGCCAAGCCTTTAAAAAGCCAGTGACATAGTTATGAAGAAACTGTCCCATTAACTATGCAGAAAAAGAAAGATCCTTTACCTCCTGCCTGGGGGGTTTGTTCTGAAAGAGTCCCTAACACCAGCGCATCATCTCTTTGCAGCAAAAAAGCACCAGCAAGTACATATAGAAGTCAGAACTGCTTTTATATGTGCAATATAGCAAATCATTCTTAATTAAACAGAACAGTATTTGAGATAAAAGCTGTAACTGAGTAACAAAATTAGATTCTCAGTCTAAAGATCAAAGGTCTGAAGATTTTTGGATTAGACCACTGTCACAATTCAATTTTCTAGCACACTCTCCTTGCAGTCGTACAGTTCCTGAATCTGGTCCTTTATTGCCAGAGAAAGATGGACACTAGACTTGGCATAGTTAGATTCCAGAAGCTCAAATTCAGGAGCTGCAGCACCCTGCTTTATTGCTCACTCGTTCTGAGCGTTACAACAGAGGAAAACCAGTGCAAGATCAAAACATGCTGCAAGCAGAGGAAAGAGAAGGGACAAGAACATATTAACTAAGCAGGGGATCACAGCATGAACCTAAGAGCTTGTTCAGGTTGCACTCATACATTCTGTTGTGACTGAAAAGCTTATTCTCTCCACTGCCTGCTACAAATACCCAGCTACCCTCCACCTGCCCATGTGCCAACTCAACTGCTCAGGTTACCATACCCTAATCCATTTAAAATCAAGCCAGTCAGCTCAAGCACAGACTTACCAGGGGAGAAAGCTTTGGGGGATATACTCCACTCAAACCCATTAGCTCATCTCCCACTCTACAGACAGCAGAGACTAATCTAACAGAAGGGTGAAGCAGGCTGAAGCCTGTTCCAAAGCTTCACCAAGTTAGGGCAGCCCTGCTGCCTCTGCAGCTGCAAAGACACCTTGTTGCCAGGGCAGGCTGGTGCCTGGAGCTGCAATGCAGAGCCCTGGCTCCGGCAGGCTGAGCTCCAAGGAGCACTCCCAGCACTCAGCACAGCACACACTGCAGGTGAGGGATTCAGTTCCCTCGTTCACATCACTGCTGCAACTTCCCATGGCATAATTTAAACAGTTCCTGGTCTCTTCTGACTGAAACTGTTGAGGTGAAATGCCTGTGAGCTGCTGAGCCAGCGAGCTTGCTGGGCACTGGTTCAGGAGAGGGGTAGCCACAGGCAGGCTGGATTAGTGCTGAAAGAGGACGTGGTTACAGAGCCTCAGTGAAGTCAAGAGCTGGAAGAGAAAGACATCCAAGTCTCAAATACTTACTTGTGAATTAAATAATAAGGGGAGAATGAAGGTAAGCAAATACCAAAGACAGAATAGAGAAAAATTGCTAGAAAATAAGACTGCAGAAAATGCAGTCAAGTTACATCTTTAACATGACATCTGTCAGAGTAATCACTGCCAACACCGTGGAGCTAAAAAAGAAAAAAAAATCCTTCTAATGCTCTGTTCATTATTTGGTCAATTGAAAGAGAAACAATTGCCATTCCAGGCAGTACCAAAGATCCAAAGATGGATGGATCACTTGCAGATACAATGGTGAAGCAGATTCAGAAGGAAAAAAGCATTCCTTCCTAGAAAAACATTTAAGAAAGGTTTTCTAAACCAGTAATCAGATAAAAATATTTAAGACAATAAACTTGATAACTAAATGCTTAAAGGTTGGATATTTACCAAAATATCCTGCATTAAAACAAAACAACCCAAACACACACACACACAGAGCTAAAACACTAGAATTTGTTGGGAGAAAGGGAAGCAGGAAATCAGAGGGGGTGGGGGGAAATGAACACTTGTTGTGGTTTGAGGCTTGGAATGGGGTCGTGACCTTCCAGCAACTGGGAGGACCCCGGGTGGGGGTGAAACCATTGTATTCCCTCCCCTTCCCACACACACTCTGATAAGAGGCAGGGAGTGGTTTTTAATTTCACTCCTGCCTTGGAGCTCGGAGAGGGAGGTTCTCCTTTCACTCCGTGGGACCCTGGAACCATACCTGAGGGTTTTGTATATTTTATTTTTTGTATTTTTCCCCTAATCTTTGTATATATTATTTTCCTTACCTCCCTTTTTCGCTTTTTGTTCCTTGTTAAACAATATAATTCATTTTTTTTTCCAAAGTATCTCTCTCTCTCAGGGGGGGAGAGGCGAGTACATAGTTCTGTTCCGTGTGGGTCCTGCCCTGAACCCCTTTTTACACGGAACCAGGACAACACTATTATCAGACTGCCCTTTCTAGTTTCCAAGGATTCCAGTCACCGGGTCTTAAACACACTCCAGATACCAGCACTAAAATGAAGCAGTCTATGACTAAAGCAAGGTACATCAGGAAGTTTGTACTTGGCAAGATACACAATGGTCTCTCTAATTGTGCTCAGAAATGTCTTTGCAAATAAGGAGTATCTAGTTTACTTCCTGAGGTTAGTCACACAGCTGTTAAAAAGGCTCCCAACCTTTTACACACAATAACATTCCTGGTAGCTACTCTTTGCCCCTAGTCCCCAGCCTGGAGCTGAGCCTTTGCAACCCACAAACCCATTACCCCATCAACTCTCCATATCCTATCTCAAATATACTGTTATATTTCAGCAGCTGCCAACTGGTGGCCTGAGAATTTTGGGTACTTCAAGTAATGTGTACACACACTTGTCACCAAAAGACAGACCAAAACCTTCATAGGCAAAAGCAAAAGCCTGAGTTAAAGGCTTTTAGTTTTAGAAGCTATGTAACTTAAAGGGAAAGGAAAAAAAAAAAAATGTTGAGACTGGAAAACAAAGAAGTAAACATGCTGAAAGGAAGTGGCACAGAAAATTTAAGACCTGATTCCAGAAGCACAGAGGCATGAGTATACTGTGTTGCATTACAATTTATTTCTTTACGAAGAAAGGACACAGTCACCTCAGTAATCACAGAGCCCAAGGAAACACCTCACCCTACACCAAAGGAAGGGAATTTAAGATGCAAAAGTGTTTAATAAATTGGAATCAAACCAGCAGAGGCTGTCGTCCATTTTGGAGCAAAACCTATGTAAAAAGATATTCAGAACATTTCATTAGCATTTCAATGAATTAATCATATCCATTGCATTCAGTTATCTTGAACTCTGCAAAACAGGATTCAGTAAAACCCTGTGCCATTTTTGTTGTGATAGTACCCACAGGTTCTAACTAAAATAAACAAAAACTCTGTGAGCACATTGTACTCTGAAGTACTTGCAACTGAAAAGTGCCCTCTTTAGTGGGCAGCATTAAATTTTGTCACTTCTCATTTTACTTAAATTTCCAGTTTTCAACAGATGCAGCTTTCTAAAACAACTAATTAGTAACAATGGTAATATTAAATACATTGTGATTTCAGTCAACATATGAATATTTTTATTTAAGAGCTGCAAAGTCTTGTCACACTGTACTCAAGAGCTACATGCTGGTTGTAGTTCCAAGCCACTTTCAGCTGTCATCAGCATAACACACTTATCTTAGGACTGCTAAGGAAGTATTAAAGGTAACCAAATCTGACATCTGTATTTGCTTTCCCGTTCCCCACATGTGGTCTTTCAAACTAGGAACAGTCAGTACTGCATTCCCCTCTGTTAGGGATGATCTAAAAACAGCTATCTGACCTTTCAAACAAAGGCAAAGCAATCAGGGTAAGAACTGTGCTCAATATCGGGACTTGTACTCGAGTTATTCAGGGAAGCGAGCAATTTCCTCACTAAAATAAGGAGACTATTTTATTTCAGGCAGCAAGCATCCCTGCATGGGAAGGATGACCTGCTCCTAAAAATCAAAGCATTGTGAGTCCCTTTACATTTTAAAAACAACTTTAAAAGTGTGGCTCTTAAATCAACAAAGTCAAACTTGTCCCATCTTCATTAGCCAACATTGTCTTCAATAGCTATCAGTAAGTATAGAAGGACTTCTTGTAATCATGAATCTCAATACAGGGCCAGTTTTTGAAGCCATTTGTTCCTTCAATGGTACACAAAAAAAAAAAAAAAAAAAAAAAAACCACAGAAAACTGCTGGAAAGAATATTGAGATTGCAATTTCCTTTCTGTTTCTTTTAAGTTGATGAGTGTACTTTGAAGAATTGCCTTTGAAACATGAAGAAGCAAATTCCTGCTTTTTTAAAAACTTCTATCTGACAAAGCTATAAAACTGACAAACGTGTCATCAAACTAACATGGAGAAATGGAGACTTAGAGGTGAATGAGAGAAACTACAAAGGCAAATGAAGCCTGGTTACAGCTAACACCAGCAATACAAACATCCAAGTAGCAGTAAACAAACCAAAACATCCCATCATTTTCTTAATTGCTCACAACACAAAGGTTTCCATGGATCTACATTTTTACAGATACTGTGAATTCAACTTGGCATAAGGACCTACCTCTGTATGTCTTGAATGAAGTGCATTGTATTCTTTCTTGAGTTCTGCCTCCCTCTCCTCAAGTCTGCTAACTGCAAGAAGAAAATTGAAAAGAATTAAAATTAAAATCAAAGTTTTAGTAAATGAGACTGACTTCCCTAGGACTAGGCAACCTGATCAGAGATGAAAGTATTCTTACAAGCAAATAGCAAAGAGGAGGATAAAAAGTGTGTGTCCCCTTTTGTTTAATTTCTCACTCGAGCTTCCCAAGTACAACCAACGCTAATTTAAAATTCACAGGCCTGGTAAAAAGCCCACGTACTATTTTCCCGAGTTGACAGCTAGTCCAACAAGAGGGGATTTTTATGTTCAAGGACAGCTTACTGCTCACACCAATCCAGATTGCTTCACACGTGCACATGGAAACTGTAGGATGAGGCAGAAGCCACATCACACAGCTAGACTCAATCTTGGGTGAGAGCTGTGAGCTCGTTACGGCTCTAGATTGGTTTCCTAGAACACAAACACCTCTGGAGATTGTGTGGTTAACTAGGACAAACATGAAGCTATTTCAGAAACGCCTTAAGTCACACGTTGTGGCACAGAAGTGAACACTTCTGCTGGCATTCACTCATATTCCACTGAATATAAAGGCAACAGATTCAGGGAAAGAAAACATTTGAGTATTTCTCTAGGTATTCCAAGGAATTAAAAATACATCTAGCAGATTCCGTAGAACCTCAGACAATAAGATCATATTGAGAGAGGAGCTGGAACAAACTGATATTCCTATGCAGTTAATTTGCAGAATAACTAAAACAATTCAGAACTTTATTTGCACAATTTTTTTTCCATTCAAACTGAAAATATTTTTTGCTGCCTAGATGTGAACTCCAGTTTGTTGTTCAGGTATTTTGAGCATGGTATTTATGTGATATAAGCATGTGTTTCAAGTTCTGTAACAGAGCTTACCTTATTCCACTTGCTCTACTGAAATACCCCTGGGAAACAATTGATAGTTACCCATTTCCAGAGACTCATTTCCAAACACATTATCCAAAGACAAATGCCAGCATTTCTCTGCTGTTTGTACATTTTGGTATTGCCAACTGGGTCTTCCAAAAATTAATTCTCAATATACCATTTCTTTTGACTCCATAGATCTGTACTTTGGCACAGTATTTTATTGTAAGTACGTTTCAATCCAAAAAAAAAACTTTGCCAGAGTCAAATACTGGAACCAAAGTACACAAATGTCTGCTCACTCAAATCTGTGTAAACATTCTTAGCTCCTAACCTAATCTTGCTCTTGTAAGATCATTAAGTTCCTTGACACAACCTTTTGCACTCCACCTATAAATATCTGACCAAAAGTATTACATCAAATATTATTTATATTAACATAAGATTAAACACTTTAATTTCTGCACTGTTATCAGAATGAACAAGAGTTCTTTGGCTCAAATAGAAACTTATAATGTACAAGTGTTTGCAGCACAACATATAGAAAGATAAATTTTACAGCACAATACATACATATATGCATATTTTTGAGAGGAAATACAGGACGTAAAAATGGTATCTAAGGAAGAATTTAGTTTATTATTTTTATTTTGGGCAACAGATGTTTTAAGCCTGCTCGTACACTGAAAGGGAGGTTACATGGAAGCGTGTGGTGTGTACCTACAGAAACAAGTGTCAGAATTTGTCATGTCAGGCTCTAACTATAAAACGGATTTTATCCACTACCTTTGACTGACCAGTATTCTAGTCAGAAGCAATTACATTTTACAACAGTTGACCTTCAGAGACGTCCCAGCAGCAGCCAGTCAGTAGCTACAAGTCAGAGCTCAGCAGCTTCAGCTGCCCACACCCCACCCAGCAATGGTTGTGCAACATTTTCTCCTTTAAGCGATGGTTCCTTCAATCAAGTCATAGAAGACAAGTGTATGTAGATATGGATACTACAGTCAAGGGGAATATCTCCATTAAATCTGATAACTACTTGTTACATACAAAGGTTAAAGAAAACGAAGGCCCTAGAAGATGATGCAATTTATATTCAGCATTTCCAGAAGTCCCTTGCAGCTGTATCACACATTACAGTCCTACATCTGGAAGTTTCAGTCAGAAGCAGATGTACACCAAGTTTTTACAGCCTCAGACACCACATGAACAGTTCTCAAAACAGACTTTTCCAGTACCAACAGGATACAACACCAGAAATCTATTCTAGCCAAAAACATGCCTCCCATCAAAGATAAGATCTTGACAGAACAGGCTTCCCTTTTCCAATTAAATACTGCAAATAGATCAGATACTCCAAGGGTTAGAGATCACCATAGACCTGAATGCAGAAGACACTTGAACCTACTGAAGAACAGCCGGAAGAATTTTGAGGAAGACCAACAAATTCAGCCTAAAAACTCTGGAGAAACTTAGGTCACTATTAAAAGTATATTTCCATCAGGAGTAACAGGAAACTAACAGCAATGAAATAAGAGACAGAAAAAAAACCTTCCACTGGCACACAGAAGTACACTTAAAAGCAAATTGTCACCAGTTCCATTCTACTCCACCAGTACACAAAGGAGTGGAAGTCTGGAACCACTCTGATAACATCCTGCAGGAAGAACAGAGCTGGGCACTGGCCCTGCCCAACACGCTGGGTCCACCAAGTGGCAACCTGACACAGTTCCCATCAATTGGGCTTTGAAGTAATACAAAAACCTCCTCCAATATTTCATTCTGAGACCTTTCTTCCACTAACATGTCAGATTCTTAATGAAAAAATGATACAATGACTTGATATACATCCCAAAAGCAAAATATCTATGTTGTAATGTCTTTATAAAGCCTCTATAACCTTGCACTGTAATATCTTCCATGATGTAACAAGATTATATTGTGTAAGATGCTACATGTGCAAAACGTAACAAAGAAGTTTCACTATTCATGGTTGCCAGTCTACAGGGAAAAATTTTAAAGGCCTTCCAGCATTAGTATGAGTATGCAATGCAAATACTGTAGTATTTTTAGGCTGATGAGAAAGCACCTCACTGGAACACCACCACAATCTCACTCATGTTCAAGGTCTACCTGCAACTTTCTCCAGCACTGTCAATATCCTAACAGTCAGTGACCTGAAGTACTCATCTTAAAAGTTCTCCAAAATCAAACCAATCAAGCCTAAAAATGGGATTAAATATTATAACAAGCTGGAGAGAAGCCTCTGGAGTTTCTGCATCCTGAGAGCATTATGAAGAATTAGGCAGCAAAGCTGCCTACCCTGCCTCTTCAAAAATCAGGGCTTACCTCCCAAGTCTGATGGCTTTTACCAAGTTTGGAACACCCTCCATCTGTATGTTGTCCTCTGCCTCAAACTGCTGATAAGCCTGAGGAGGAGAAAGAGAAACAGACCTGCTAGAATGCCAAATCCAACCAGTACAATGCCTTCAAGAGGAATTACAAGTTCCTGCTACACAAGCCAGGACAGAGCTCCAGCTCATTAATGAGCTTTTCCTAGCACTAAGACTATCTGAAGGCTCTCCTTGGACAGCTTTCATCCAGCTCCATTCTTAAAAGCAGGTCCCATAAGAAAGTTAAGATACAGATACAGCATAATCAATCCTATGATCCAGTAGGACCTCATGACTTACTAAAGTAGCTGCCAAAGTGCACACACAGCCATGGCCTGAAACAGGGACTGGAGCTATCAAACAAGTATTTAACCTGAAAGGGGCAAGACCTGGAAATAAGCAGAACAGAAAACTGATTTGTAAAACAAGTGATAAATTCAACTCCTTGGCAAGATCAGCCTCTTCAAGTAGCTCTTACCACTACAAACTACAGGTCTAGTTCTCTGTTTGAAAAGTAGGGCACTTGAAGTTATGGAGGTAACTTAGCTGTCAAGAACACTGTTGATATCAATTATCTACAAACGGAGCTGCATGGTCTTATCCTCAACACGTCTGGACTGCTCAAGTATCCACTATGTCTCAGACCCACAAGATCACTGTAATCTACCACCAAAAACCTCACATAAAATGAAAAAAATCTCCTTAAATGTCCCGCTACCACCATGTAATATAAGGACAATTATATGGCAGGAGATCCCTAACAACAGTTAAAAAGGAAATGAACAAGGATCTATAGAAGTTAAATCCTACCCAAAATCAGGTGTAAAAAAAATAATAATCTTTTGGACCTAGTACAAACTTCTTGGCGAGACTCTGGTCAAAATAGTGTTTCCCTTGATTGACTGTTTTGAAAGCAGTGAGATACTTCATTCATACATTTGGCTGCTGAAGCGAGTGATTTTTTTTGACACAGTCCAACATCCAGTCAGTACCAAGACAGAAGCTACAGCAGAGGGGGGTTGTTTTTAAAGCCAGATAACCAGCAACAACTCAGGAATGCAAGATTCTAAAAGACATTTAAAGCCATTTTCTCAATTTCTGCAACATTTACAGCAATAGAATTATTGTAACAATCCAACTCCAGCATCTAAACCACTAGCACAACACTCCCTTAATTTAAAAAGAAAAAAGTATGTGAGCATTTAGTTATATGCCAGTGGATTTCAACCTCCTTTCACCACTTTTGGTCAGATATATTAATAGACAAGATTAAAGCAGGCCAATGGCTGCTCTAATTTTCTACTCCATTTTATTTCAGGCTCCAGTCGGGTGGCACGACACGGTGCAAGCTCCAGAGCTAACTGTACCCTCTGCTCCATCTAGTGGCACCCACTCCCACCTGCCAGAGCAGAAACTGCAGGCACGCCGGTAACCTCACAACAAAACAGCCACAAAAGTAGCTGAGAAATGCTTTAGTGAGCAACAAAGTCTTCCTTTCTGGTACACTCTAAGGCTCACATTTCTTACAGAAAGAGGCTTCAAGTTTAGTAAATGACGGCTGAGGAACAGTGTAAGGAAGGGCAGTGGGGCAATCTGCTTTGTAAACAAACCAATGTAGACAAGAAACAGCTGCAGTGAGGAAAAACAGTGCCAAACAGCAAGCTCCAAGTTAGTTAATCGAGAAAGAGAAGTCGTCAAGCTGGTTTGTTCCTTCTTTGTTGGAAATCAGGATG